TTTTTTTTTTATTTTTTTTTTTCAACGTTTATTTATTTTTGGGACAGAGAGAGACAGAGCATGAACGGGGGAGGGGCAGAGAGAGAGGGAGACACAGAATCGGAAACAGGCTCCAGGCTCTGAGCCATCAGCCCAGAGCCCGACGCGGGGCTCGAACTCACGGACCGCGAGATCGTGACCTGGCTGAAGTCGGACGCTTAACCGACTGCGCCACCCAGGCGTCCCTCATAGGCTAACTTTTAAGTATAAAGTTAAATGTAGGCTCAGTAAGGAGCCCGCGAGTTTCCGATTACCAATTACCAGGGGAATATTGGCCAACCAGTGGATTTGCTGGCTTTTCAGCTACCTAAAATCAATTAACAGAAGCTGGCAGATTCCCCAGATAGGTAAGGTAAGAAAAACATTGTTTATGGAAATGGATCCTAATCTAGAGAAGTAAAATACTTGAAATCTTTAAAAAGAAATGCCCTATATTTTTCAATTGTGTAACTCACTTTAACTAATAATCTCATGTTTAAACTTGGTTATTAGCTAGAGTCATTTTCCAAGTTTGGTAGATATGGGGAGCCAACTTTAACAGGAAGAAGCTGTAAAAGGGGATAGCCCTATTGGTGCAGGGAATGTGGGTGGAATCTATAAACCCAGCAGTGTTTGCTCTAAGCTATTAGATATTCCTAAACCAGAGTCATTTTGTGGGTGTTTTTTTAACATCTTTTTTTAAGTTACAAAAGTAGTAGATATTGGGGTGCCTCAGTGGCTTAGTTGGTTAAGCATCTGACTCTTGATTTTGGCTCAGGTCATGATCTCACGGTTCTTGGGTTTGAGCCCCATGTTGGGCTCTGCTCTGACAGCACAGATCTCTCTGCCCCTCCCCTGCTCTCTCTCTCTGACTCTCAAAAGAAATAAATATTAAAAAATCTTTTTTAAAGAAATAGATATGTAGTGTAAAAATACAAATGAGTGTAAAGAAGAAAATCACCTGTAATCCCACTATCAACATTTTGTTCTATATCCTTCCTGTTCATTTTTAGGCATATACGTATTTTTTGTTTTCACAGAAATGGATGATGGTGTTTTGTAATATAATAGTATTATCACCTAATATGTTGAGAATATATTTCCATGCCATAAATATTCTTCTACATTCTTGTTTGTTTGTTTGTTTTAAGTAAACTCTGCTCTCAGCGTGGGGCTCAAACTCATGACTACAAGAGTCACATGCTTTACCAATGAGCCAGCCAGGTGCCTGAGCATTTTCATTTTAATGGGTGTATGTATTTTTTTTTTTTTTTGGGTGTATGTATTTAACTACATAATAGTATCATATTTTATTTAACCCAACCCCTATTATTAGGCTTTTTGTTGTTTTTTACTCGTTTTGAGGGTTTGGAGTTTTTTTTTTTTTTGTATTATAAACAATACTACAATGAACATCCTGATGGCTAACCTTTGCAACATCCAGGGCTTGCAAGAAATTGTTCGAAGTGAGATTTCAGAGTATGAGATATATACAAGATGAATATTTTTTAATGAGTAGTTTCAAATTGTCTTTTAGAAAGTTGGAATTAGGTCCTCCCAAGTTGCATTTTTTATTTTTTATTTTATTTATATATTTTTTATCTTAGAATGCATGAGCATGAGCTGAGGAGAGGGACAGAGGAAGAGAAAGAATCTTTTTTTTAAAATAATGTTTGTTTATTTTTGAGAGAGAGAGAGCACGCAAGTGGGGAAGGGGCAGAGAGAGGGAGACAGAGGATCCAAAGCAGGCTCTGTGCTGACAGCAGCAAGGCTGATATGGTACTCGAACTAAAAAACCGCGGCACCATGACCTGAGCTGAAGTCGGGCTCAACCGACTGAGCCACCCCGGTGCCCCATTTTTATTTTTATTTTTAAAAATTATTTATTTGCTTATTTATTGAGAGATAGAATGAGAATCTTAAGCAGGCTCCACGCTGAGCACGGAACCTGACACAGGGCTCAATCCCATGACCCTGGGATCATGATCTGAGCCAAAATCAAGAGTCAGACATTCAACTGACTGAGCCATCCAGGTACTCTCCGAGTTGTATTTTTTAAAATAAATGAATAACTAATAGAATTCCTGCAAAAATTATATTAAAAGTCCGGATGATTATTTTCATGTTGAAGGTGATATGATTTATTTCTTATAGGGTCACAAGATGCTGCTCACGATCTGGATACTCTGAAAAAGCACAAGGTAAAAATGCTTCAGGTCTGCAGCCATGTATAGAAAATTTTTTAATTGTTACATTTTTTTAAATTTGAATTTTAATTTTTTTGAATATATTAAATTTTAAAAAAATAATTATTATTATTTTCTAAATTTACATCCCAAGTTAGCATATAGTGCAACAATGATTTCAGGAGTAGATGCCTTAATGCCTTTACCCATTTAGCCCATGCCCCCTCCCACTACTCCTCCAGTAACCCTCTGTTGTTCTCCATATTTATGAGTCTCTTCTGTTTTGTCCCCTCCCTGTTTTTGTATTATTTTTGCTTCCCTTCCCTTATGTTCATCTGTTTTGTATCTTAAATTTCTCACATGAATGAAATCATATGATACTTATCTTTCTCTGACTAATTTAGCTTAGCATAATACCCTCCAGTTCCATCCACATAGTTGCAAATGGCAAGATTTCATTCTTTTTGATAGCTGAGTAATACTCCATTATATATATATATATATACCACATCTTCTTTATCCTTTCATCCGTAGCTGGACATTTGGGCTCCTTCCATACTTTGGTTGTGGTCAATAGTGCTGCTGTAAACGTTGGAGTTCATGTGCCTCTTTGAAACAGCATACCTGTATCCCTTGGATACACACCTACTAGTGCAATTGCTGGGTCGTAGGGTTGTTCTATTTTTAATTTTTCGAGGAACCTCCATACTGTTTTCCAGAGTGGCTGCACCAGTTTGCATTCCCACCAACATTGCAAAAGGGTTCCTCTTTCTCCCCATCCTCGCCAACATCTGTTGTTGCCTGAGTTGTTATGGTTAGCCGTTCTGACAGGTGTGAGGTGGTAGCTCATGGTGATTTTGATGTGCATTTCCCTGATGATGAGTGATGTTGAGCATTTTTTCATGTGTCAGTTGGCCATCTGGATGTCTTCTTTGGAGAAGTGTCTATTCATGTCTTTTTCCAATTTCTTCAATGGATTGTTTGTTTTCTGGGTGTTGAGTTGGATAAGTTTTTTATAGATTCTGGATACTAACCCTTTATCTGATAATGTCATTTGCAAATATCTTCTCGCATTCCATCGTTTGCCTTTTAGTTTTGCTGATTGTTTCTTTCACTGTGCAGAAGCTTTTTATTTTGATGAGGTCCCGGTATAGTTCATTTTTGCTTTTGTTTCCCTTGCCTCCAGAGACGTGTTGAGTAAGAAGTTGCTGCAGCTGAGGTCAAAGAGGTTTTTGCCTGCTTTCTCCTCTAGGATTTTTAAAAATTTTTATTAAAATTAATATTTTTTATTTACTTTTGAGAGAGAGAGACAGAGACAGTGCAAGCAGGGGAGGGGCAGAGAGAGAGGGAGACACAGGATCTGAAGCAGTCTTTAGGCTTGGAACTGTCAGCACAGAGCCCAACAACGGGGCTCGAAGTCAAGCCCACATGATCTCATGTGAGATCACAACCTGAGCCAAAGTCAGACACTTAACTGGCTGAGCCACCCAGGCACACCTCTTCTCTAGGATTTTGATGGCTTCTTGTCTTATGTTTAGGTCTTTCATCCATTTTGAGTTTATTTTTGTGTATGGTGTAAGAAAGTGGTCTAGGTTCGTTCTTCTGCATGTTACTGTCCAGGTTTCCCAGCACCACTTGCTGAAAAGACTATCTTTATTCCATTGGATATTCTTTCCTGCTTTGTCAAAGATAAGTTGACCATACGTTTGTGGATCCATTTCTTGGTTCTCTCTTCTGTTCCATTGACCTGAGTGCCTGTTTTCGTGCCAGTACTATACTGTCTTGATTACAGCTTTGTAATACAGCTTGAAGTCCAGGATTGTGATGCCTCCTGCTGTGGTTTTATTTTTCAAGATTGCTTTGGCTATTCGGGGTCTTTTCTGGTTCCATACAAATTTTAGGATTGTTTGTTCTAGCTCTGTGAAGAATGCTGGTGTTATTTTGATAGGGATTGCATAATTGTTACATTTATTTAGGAAACTATTAGTCCATTTCAGAATTTAATTGGTAACATTCTGGCTGTCATTTTAATAAATTGCAAAAATTATTATACCTAATTAAATATATGGATTTATAATTCATCTTTCCAATTTTATATTCTCTCAGTCTCCCTTCATGGACCCTCACGAACCTGACTTTGAGGCATGTTTTCTTGCCTCTGCTTATGTACTTCCTTTGTGTGGGATGGACTTTCCTCTCTTCTCTTCTCATCCAAGACATACCCTGCCTGAGTCCCAACTCAAATACCACTTCTTCCCCAATGCCATCTTCCCCCACCCTTCCTGCACAACTGATGTGATTTATTACTTATTTTAGCCCTCTATTTTGTCCAGCAGTGTTTTGGCATCATGGAATTGCTGTGGTTTATTAACATGAAGCTTCTGGAGCAGAGGGTAGAGGAGAGAACAACAAATAAGCACCTTCAGTCCAGGGTATAATGTGCTTTGATGGGGAAATGCAGGTGCTACTGGAGAGCATGTGAGATGATGCCCTCCATGTTTGGATTGAGTTGGGTTGGGTAGGGGATTGTAAAGTCAGGGAAGTGATGAAGGAAGTGCTATTGAAGTTTGCTCTGAATGGGGTGGGGAGGGAGCAGACAGAAAAGTGTTCAGATAAGAGAAGTGGTTTGTGTGCAGCCCCAGAAGAGAAAGGCTGACGTTTTCAGAGACGGAAAAAAAGTTCAGTAACCCTGGAATAGAGAGTGACAAAGAAGGATACCCAGAAACAAGGCCAGGGATGTAAGCATGAATCAGATCACAAAAATCCATGTAAGCCTGGGTAAACTGTTGGACTTTATCCAAAAGTATGTGAAAGTCTTTACCCAGGGAAGTAACAGGATCAAATTTGCAGTTTAGAAAGGTTGCTTGGTAGAGGCCATGTGGAAAATAGATCGGAGTGTTGCATAAACTAAAGATGGGGAGAGTAGTTACAAGGCAGTTGCAGTAACAGTTATAATAATAACTGGCTGACAAGAAGAGATAATAGCCTGGAATTGCATAAGGATATGAGAAGTACTGTGTTTCCTAATAGCATCCATCTTAGATCAATATTTTAACATAAGTAGGACAAGTTTCAGAGTCTTGTTTACACTAGCAAATTAATACTTCTCAGAGAAAAAATGGAAACTAGAAAAAATGATAAAATTTATTCATTGGCAAATGTTTCATTATCTATCCCCTTTTATGATACACTAGTTGAAATTCACTTTCATCTGGCGATGTGAAGCAAGCAGGTGTTTAAAAGATCCTCCTAAGGTAAACTGACCAGCTGAATAGAGGGTTTATTGAAAAATTTAGTGACTCTACAAAACATTATTGATTTAAATGCGTGGCACATTTCAAAGGCATATTATTCTAAGACTTAAGTGCTATAATTAATAGAAATTCTTTTGAGGATCATTTCAGAAATTTCATTAGGAATTTCATTTTAATGTTTAGATATAGTAATAATAGTTGCTTTGTTAATAAGGTACCCAAGTGCTTGGTGTGTGTCCAACAAAGTACTATGGAAGATAGAAAACTGAAACATAAAATGTCCAAGTTATTTATTGTTGCATTGTTTATTAACAGCAAATCATTGACAAAAACTCACATGTTCATAGATAGGGAATTGGTTAAATAATAGTACACTCACACTACAGAACTATATAGCTATAAAAAAAAAAACACCAAAAAAAAAAAAAGAGTCTGTAAATACTAATCTAAAAAAATTTCCAGGACATTTATTTTTTATTTTATTTATTTATTTTTAATTTTTCTTATTCTTTATTTTTGAGAGACAGTGAGACTGAGTGTGAGTGGGGGAGGAACAGAGAGAGAGGGAGACACAGAATCCGAAGCAGGCTCCATGTTCTGAGCTGTCAGCACAGAGCCTGACACAGAGCTTCAACCCACTACCGTGAGATAATGACCTGAGCTGAAGTCGGATGCTTAACCGACTGAGCCACCCAGGCAACCCTTACTTACATATCAATATCTATATCTATCTATCTATCTATCTATCTATCTATCTATCTATCTATATCTATAGATAGCATAGATAGCATATAGTGCAATTATGATTGCAGGAGTGGATTCCAGTGATTCATTCCCTATGTATAACACCCAGTGCTCATCCCAACAAGTGTCTTCCTTAATGCCCCTTACCCATTAAGCCCATTTCCTCACCTACAACCCCTCCAACAACCCCCAGTTTATTCTCTATATTTAAGAGTTTATGTTTTGCCCCCCTTTCTGTTTTCATATTATTTTTGCTTCCCTTCCCTTATGTTTATCTGTTTTGTATCTTAAATTCCACATATGAGTGAAGTCATGATATTTTTCTGACTAATTTTGCTTAGCATAATCCCCTTTAGTTCGATCCTTGTAGTTGCAAATGGCAAGATTTCATTCTTTTTGATTGCTGAGTAATACTCCATTGTGTGTGTGTGTACATACACATACCACATCTTCTTTATCCATTTATCAGTAGATGGACATTTGACCTCTTTCCATACTTTGGCTATTGTATGTAGCGCTGCTATAAACATTGGGGTGCGTGTACCCCTTCAAAATAGCACACCTGTATCCCTTGGGTAAATAACTAGTAGTGCAATTCCTGGGTCGTAGGATAGTTATATATTTAATTTTTTGAGGAACCTCCATACTGTTTTCCAGAGTGGCTGCACCAGTTTGCATTCCCACCAGGAGTTGAGCACATATTTAAATGAGAGGAGAACCCAGGGTGTTGTCTTTGTGTAGGAAAGGGAATAAACAAATTTGCCTGAAGATGCTCTAAAAGAATACACAAGACGCCAAAAAAGGTGGTTACCATTAAGGTAGGAGAAAACGGAGTAGATAGGGACAGGGTGAGAGCAAAACTTTGTTTCTTTTTTATAATGTTCTGATTTTGAACCAGTTCACAATATGTAAGTTTACTAAAATTAGAAATAATAATGCCTATATGTGAGGATTAGGTGAGATAACTTATAGGCCTAGCATACATTAGGTTTGCAATAAAGTGGTTTTTCTTATTATCCCTATTACAAAGGGCATCCCAAGGGCAACCATTGTTAGGACCTCCATACCTACATTTTGGAAGTATGCTTAATTACTAGAAAGGGTTTTAGGCTGGGTCCCCATCACCACCACCACCTGTGATTCAGTACAATTCTTTTCTATCAGGCCCAGTCAATACACATATAAATTGCACTTCCCAACAGCTAAACTACCCAGGCATTGGTAATCCATAATATTTGTAAAGCACTTTTACCTTTCAAGAGGTTTTCCTAAGATTCTCATTTGGTTTTCTCCATAGTCCTGTGAAGATACATAGGTAATAGGTAATAAGTTATATATATCTTATATTGTGTGTGTGTGTGTGTGTGTGTGTGTGTGTGTGTATATATATATATACAATTTATATATATAAATTTTATATATAAATATATATATATAAATTGTATATATATATATGCACATTGTATATATAGATACAATATATATATTGTATTTATATATATTGTATATATTATCCAGGGCAGAATCATATAATCCTGGTCAGAAGTACACTGGCAATGAGTGAGTTGACATAGACAAGACTTCACTGGGGAAAGCAGAAGGACATTTCAGACTTTATCTTCTAAAAATGTTCTTACCTTTCTAGTTTCTCCCATCTCATCTCTATATAAGAATGTCTCTTGAGTAGACATTTGAGGTTTTTTCTGTTGTCTGTCTTCTACAAGGCAGTTAGGTCAGTAAATGAATGGCCTGTGGCTCTGTCTTCATGGGGCCTAGCTCCCGGAATGTTTTAATCAATGCTCTTTGGGTTGGGAGGCACAGAAACCCTAGCAAGAAAAGAGAATGTGTGTATAGTAATTTAGGGGGAATCTCTGGAATCTGAGGGCAGAGGCTGGCTGTGCTAGAGAATAGAAGGCTCTCCAAGATGGTCCCTCTCTGCTGCTGGCATCATGGCCCCTTTCTGCATAGGTATCTACTCTGTTCTTATTTAGGAGCAGAAAGTCTTCAGCTTCTTTGGGCACATAATAGAAAGCAGCTATCTTAGACCTCTCAAGTTTGCGGACCATTCAGCTGTCTTGTGTACCTATTTTAAATTTATGAAAATAATTTGATCAGTGTTGTTTAAGTCTGGTGTCTGCCTCAATCTAGTTAGCTGTACTAGGTGGAGAAGTGGGGCGCTGCCACAGCCATGTCTATGAGGGTAGTGGAGGCAAGAGAGGCAGAGCTGGAAGATACTCTAAAGTGTGTAAGGGGCACCTGGCTGGCTCAGTTGGTGGAATGTGCGGCTCTTGATCTCAGTATTGTGAGTTTGAGCCCCACTTTGGGTGTAGAGCTTATTTAAATAAATAAACTTAAAAAATTTTTTTTAACGTTTTATTTATTTTTGAGACAGGGAGAGACAGAGCATGAACAGGGGAGGGTCAGAGAGAGGGAGACACAGAATCCGAAACAGGCTCCAGGCTCCGAGCTGTCAGCACAGAGCCCGACGTGGGGCTCGAACTCACGGACCGCAGGATCATGACCTGAGCCGAAGTTGGCTGCCCAACCGACTGAGCCACCTAGGCACCCCTAAATAAATAAACCTTTAAAAAGTTTAAAAATTAAAAATAAAATACGTGTGAAATACACGAAAATATCGAGATCAGGTAAAACCGAACACCCATGCTAAGAAAGAGAATATGGTGAGGCATGTCATGACAAGAAACAGTGCCCTATTTTCTTTATCCATTTAACTTTTGGATTCTTTTAATTAACCTTCCACATGGCCCCTTCCATATGCTTGGTAGACTGTAGGAAAGAAGCTCAAATGCATAGATGGGTAGAAGGTTGCTTTTGTGGACCATTTGAAATAAATGACCATCCTTTCAACCAGACTAATTCATTGGAGTCTCTAGGTTTGAGGCCCTGTGGCACTGACATTTTAAAAGTTAACTGGGTGATTCTAACGTGCAGCCACACTTGAGAACCGTCATACTACTAAAGAATATGAAGGAAAATCGGAAAATAATTATTGAAAAAGAAGTCTGTGTTATTGATGTACTTCCCTTACTCAAGTTTTTTATATGCATATTCATTGATTTATCCAACAAATATTTTAAGTACTTTTTGTGCTAAGGTCATTGCTCACACACAGTGCTTACTCATAATACTGAAGAAGCCAAACATGGTTCCTCCCCTCATGGAGTTTCTAGTACCATGAGGGAGACAAATAATGTCAAAGTGGTAAGAGCTATAATTAGGGCAAGTAGAGGGTGCTGTGAGAGTGTACAGAATTAGCACTTCTGGTGAGGGATGAGGCAGTCAGAGGAAGCTTCCTGTAGGAAGTATTATTCAAGTGAGTCATGCTTAAATTGTTTGTTTATTCTCATTACAAATCTCAACATCTCATTCTCTTTTTAATTAACCTAATTTTAATTCATTAGAGAATTTTTAAAAATCATCTTTCTTTTTCCCCTTTAAGGTGACACATATTCTCAATGTTGCATATGGAGTTGAAAATACTTTCCTCAGTGACTTTATATATAAGAGTATTTCTATATTGGATCTGCCTGAAACCAATATCCTGTCTTATTTTCCAGAATGTTTTGAATTTATTGAACAAGCAAAAATGAAGGTAAGTTTTATTTTGATCCACAGTTCTTCAAAGACAGCAATTTTAAAATACAGGTCCGTTATCTAAGCTTTATTCTTTTTCTGATTAATACATAGAGAGCCATTATGAAATTTCCCCTCCAACAATCTTTTAATTCTTTTTTTTTTCAACGTTTTTTATTTATTTTTGGGACAGAGAGAGACAGAGCATGAACGGGGGAGGGGCAGAGAGAGAGGGAGACACAGAATTGGAAACAGGCTCCAGGCTCCGAGCCATCAGCCCAGAGCCTGACGCGGGGCTCGAACTCACGGACCGCGAGATCGTGACCTGGCTGAAGTTGGATGCTTAACCGACTGCGCCACCCAGGCGCCCCGACAATCTTTTAATTCTTACAGTTCTTTAGTTCTCTGATATTTTTTTCTCAATGAGATAACTTATTTTTTATTTTTTAAGTAATCTCAATGCCCAACATGGGGCTTGAACTCATGATCCTGAGATCAAAAGTCACATGCTCTACTGACTGAGCCAGCCAGGAGTCACTCAATGAGTTACTCACTTTTAACCTTAATATATTATCTTCCTAGGGCTTCCTGAGAAATGTTAGGAGATAAAATTCTCCATTTACTGAATTTTCCTGTGTTTATGTTTACTTAGATTTCCTTTGATGGTTTATAGCCACCTGCCGTATGTGATAGATACTAGTATTGTCCTTTTAGTGTATTTATGAAGATTAATATGCATTCATTTTTATGGCTGTGATAGGGACAGTGAATCTATGCATTTTTAACAATAGAAAATTATAGGGTACTCCAGGACTAAATGTATTGCTTTACTGAGATTGTGTGAAAATGCTGATCAGAAGCTGTCCGTTGGTTCTCTGACTTTAAAAGACCAACAGATAATATAATACTTCAACATTGGTAATAGATCCAGGTCAAACTGGGCTTCTAAGTTAGCTATTACCAGTAATTATACCTTGAAATGACACCATTTTAAAAAAAAATTTTTTTTTTAATGTTTATTTATTTTTGAGACAGAGACAGAGCATGAACGGGGGAGGGTCAGAGAGAGAGGGAGACACAGAATCTAAAACAGGCTCCAGGCTCTGAGCAGTCAGCACAGAGCCCGACGCGGGGCTCAAACCCACAAGCTGTGAGATCATGACCTGAGCCGAAGTCGGATGCTTA